AACCACTGACAATTGACACAACCACTGACAACTGACACAACCACTAACAACTGACACATCCACTGACACTGACACAACCACTGACAACTGACCCAACCACTAACAACTGAGACATCCACTGACACTGACACAACCACTGACAACTGATACAACCACTAACAACTGACACATCCACTGACACTGACACAACCACTGACAACTGACACAACCACTGACAACTGACACAATCACTGACAACTGACACAACCACTGACAACTGACACAACCACTGACAGCTGACACAACGAGCAGTACAGTTACAACGCTGATAAATGGTCTTTAAGCTTCTGTTAACATTAATATCAGGGGACTAGCAAACACCTGTGCACGACCCAATCTAGCAAACACCTGTGCACGATCCAATCTAGCAAACACCTGTGCACGGCCCAATCAAGCAAACACCTAGGCACGACCCAGTCTAACAAACATCCTGGAGTTTACCTGGAGAGAGTTCCGGGGGTCAACGCCCCCGCGACCCGGTCTGTGACCAGGCCTCATGGTGGACCAGAGCCTGATCAACAAGGCTGTTACTGTTGGCTGCACGCAATCCAACGTACGAGCCACGGCCCGGCTGGTCAGGTACCGACTTTAGGTGCTCGTCCAGTGCCTGCTTGGAGACAGCTGGGAGGCAGTTGAACAGTCTTGGGCCCCTGACATTTATTGTGTTGTCTCTTAACGTGCTAGTGACACCCCTGCTTTTCATTGGGGAGTGTTGCATCGTCTGCCGAGTCTTTTGCTTTCGTTGTGAGTGATTTTCGTGTGCAAGTTCGGTATTAGTCCCTCTAGGATTTTCCAGGTGTACATAATCATGTATCTCTCCCGCCTGCGTTCCAGGGAATACAGGTTCAGGAACTTCAAGCGCTCCCAGTAATTGAGGTGTTTTATCTCCGTTATGCCCGCCGTGAAGGTTCTTTGTACATTTTCTAGGTCAGCAATTTCACCTGCCTTGAAAAGGTGCTGTTAGTGTGCAGCAATATTCCAGCCTAGATAGAACAAGCGACCTGAAGAGTGTCATCATGGGCTTGGCACCTTTTTAAAGGGCTTCTTACCTCTGTCATTTTTCTAGCAGATGCGTTTGAAAATGTTTATGGTCCTTGAAGGTGGATCCTCCGACATGGCACTCCGGGTTTTTGACGTTAGTTTTTTCGTTCTATTTTGGGGGCTGGAATTTGTTTTGACCTGATAAATTTTTAAAATTTCCTCTTTTTTTCCATACGTAGTAATTTAAAAATTTTCTCATCGCTGAACTCAATTGTTTCTAAGCCTTTAAAAGGGTTTTGGGTTTTGGTCCGCCTGGACCCCTGCATGTCTGAAAGGGAAGACACTGTCATGCGTTTCGGTGTTGCAAAGGAAGACACGGTGCTTTGGCTGACATCCTTGTCTATTCAATATAGTATGAAAACAAGATGGGAACGAGACTTGCCTTGCGAAAAGAGTTTTCACCGACCCCCTCGATTTGCTCTTTTTACTCCCCCTTTTTGGGTTCTGTTTGTGAGGAAATTATGACCATCTAAATTTTTCCCGTTATTCCTTTACCCCGCATTTTGTGCGTTATTACGCCAGGGTCCACTTGTCGAAGGCTTTGGCAAAGTCTGTATATATTACATTGCTTTTTTTTGTCTTCTAGACTCGGACCTTGTCGTAGGATCCAATAGTTGAACAGACAGGAGCGACCTGCTCAAAACCCCATTTCTCGGGTTTGTGAAATTGATGGGTATCAAGGGGTAGCGATCTTGCTTTTAGGACCCTTTAAAGATTTTTATGAAAGGGGAAGTTAGTGCTATCGGCTGTAGTTCTTTGCTATGCTTTACTCCCCGTTTTGGGGATGGGGCTAGTCTGTTTTTTTAGAAATGTGGGACGACCTCCTGTCATGCCCCTCCATAGAATGGTAAAAACACGTGATAGGGGGTTCTTGGTTCTTGATGAACACGGGTTCCATGGCTGGCCCGGGGCGAGTGCATGGGGAGCATTTTTCGCCCGTTCGAAGTCTTTGGGTCAAAATAACGTCAGAAGGCTTGTGTTTTTCCGAACTGTGGGTCTCTCATAAAAAATTCATTTAGATCTTTGACTTCAGTTGGTTAGCGGCTTGCTAAAATCTGAGTCTATTGGGACTTGAGTAGCTCACTCATTTCCTTTTCTGCATTTGGTACGACCCATCTAACAAACCCTGTGCAGACCCATCTAACAAATTCTTGCACGACCCAAATTACAAACCCTTGCCCGACCTTGCAAAAACCTATGCACGACCCAGTCTACAAACACGGGGCACGTTCCCCTCATCCCCTAATTATCACTGGGCATAAGTCATTTGGTTTTTGTGAGGTGCGTCATTAACACCACGCTTCAGCGGGGTGCTGCAGCACCGGTGCTTTCACGGCGGACCTCATGGCTCTTTTGGCATTCCGCCCCATCTTTGTGATTATGGGGGTGGTACAGTGGGCGGGGATTCGGGGGAGCTTTCCCCGTCCCTCGCCACCCCCTCCTTATTGCAAGATAAATTTTCCCCACCCCCCCTCCCACCCCCAAAAAAAAAGGCTTTAACGGGATTATCGTCAGAAAAAAGGCGATTCCCCGGAGTTTTAAATAACCAAAAAACCACGAAATTCGTTAGTAAAACTTTTAATCTCACGTTTTTTTTCTTTTGATTGGCGGGGACTGTGAATGAAGTTTTTTTGGATGATAAAAAGTTCCATGACTTCGTGACTAACTGTCTGTATTTATGAAGCTGTCTTGTGTGGGTGCCAGAGTCGGGGACGTTTCTACATCTCTTTGAGACATGACTCTCTTTGGTATCATTTTTCCATTTTGCAAATTAATAAGAATTATCACAAGAAACCCAAGTCAACATACAACATCCAAAAGGGCGTGATTCGATTGGACAGTTATAGGGAAGTTTCCTGTAACCCCTGCGGCAGAGGTGTAAGGGGAGAAAGAACCTTTTCACTATCTACTCAATTTCATCTGTGTTATAGTAGTATAACTAGACTTTGCTTAAATCTTAATTAAATCATTATCATAGATAAACCCCATTCTATGTTCTCTTTAGTTTCCACCTTTCTTCCTTCGTAACACTTCTCTTGTGAATGGAATGCATCTTCCTCAATATTTCGGTGATTGTTCGCACATTCTTATGATAAGGTGGAAAATTTTAAAAACACTAAAACATAAAGCTTATTCAAACATGAAATATTATCCAACTGAATCAGACATTGAAAAAAAAACTGAAAATAATCAAATTTAAGACATACAATCAATACATAAGTTCCTAGAACAAGAGCTATAAAGCAGCCCGTAGTATTGTACTCTGATTCTCATTCATTATGTTTTAATGTGACGTAAATATAAACGTACTGAACACAGAAGCAGAAGATTGTCATATCAAAGCGAAGACAAATACACTTCCGTGTTGGCTTGATCCATAATGAAGAACGAACGTCAACACGGTGCAGCATGAAGGAACAAAGGCGCAGATCGGAGTGAACCCTTAATTAATGAGACGGTGAATCAGCTTGCTGGTGTCTCAGATTCAAGAATTATTAATGTTCATATAGTATGTGAAGCCCGTGTGGGGCATTCAGCGCAAGGAGTGGTGGAGGCTCGATCCTCCTTCCGCTAATACTGAGAGGTACGCACTGCTCTGGTAGCCAGCTTAGATTCAAGGAGATAACGATTAGCCAGAGAAGCAAGGCTCGCAGGATGGCAGTCACACATACGTAGGGTAGGTGTTTACCTGGAGAGAGTTCCGGGGGTCAACGCCCCCGCGGTCCGGTCTGTGACCAGGCCTCGCAGGATGAACATGAAGTGCACAATAAACTAGCTGCTCAGGAGGCACAACTAAAACAAGTCATGAAGACGAGAACTTAAGACTTTTTTTCGCTAATGCTTGATCAAGCAGTTCTATCAGTCTCTCGGGGTTTCGGTGGCCTTAATAAAATACTTGAGCTGTGAGCTGAGGAATAGACAACGGTCACTATCACAAGTGATTCTCTCACTTGATAAGCAAAACTTTTTAAGACGACTAAGAGAAAATAAAGTAAAGCGTTTTACGTTAAAAAAACGGGTACCACAAAGCAAGATATAATAGTTGCAAGAAAAATAAGTACAATAAACGCATAGAGGAATGAATACTCACGATCGTCAGAGATCCGGGAGTCTAGTAATTCCTTGTAGACTTTTAGGTCAACATATCACGTGCTACCTCAGAGCGTAGTGGGAAGGGAGGCTGGAAGGCAGCACTGGTGTCTTCAGTGGCTTGAAATAAGCACTTTAACACATAAACAACCCACATCCAAGCCAGTGACATGAATACAAACCAGATTAAAGTACATCCGAAAATTTGTCATAAATATCTTTCTCTTCATCCGAAGCTTTGTCATTAATATCTTTGATGGTCTATTTTTATTCTGTATTGTGTAAAACATCTACCGCTTTCTCTGGTTAATGTCATACTTTTTTTTTTAAACATACCGGCCGTCTCCCACCGAGGTAGGATGACCCGAAAAAGAAGAAATACTCACCATCATTTACTCCTGATGCTTCTCCAAATTGCAATATTCCCACTCCTTCTTCAGAGTGCAGTCACTGTACTTCCCACCTCCAGGACTCAATACTGTTTGCTACAAGTTCATGTTGGGGACAATATATTTACGTTTACAACTTTTTCTGCAAAAAATGCACATAGTTTGGATGCTTTGTAAGTGATACAACTCACAGTAGGCCGCTGATATATGTAAATTCGTCACTCTTTTGAGGCAAATATGTCTTATATTTTTAGACGATGTGGTACAGCCATTATCATGGGTAAGTTTAATTATTGACTTTCTGAAGATAATATGAAAACAAAAGTGACAGTACTCCTTGAGTTTCAGAGTCTGTAGCTATGTTTAGAACATGCAGAAGTTTACTTTGTCGACTTATGATCTAACAGTTGTCTTCCTCCGCAGAAGTGGCAGGAGCCGTCTATGCAATTGGGTTACACATTACTGTCAAGAAACTGGCCTGTCACAGAAGCTTGGTGACAGTACTGTCAAGAAACAAACCTATCACAGGGTTAACCATATTTCCGTGTAGAGGAATTGCAAGAAAAACTTCGATCACCTAGAACTTACATCATGGAGCAACTGGAAGAGAAGCCTTCCTTACCTAGAACTTCCAGCACGAAGGAACTGCATGAGAAACCTTGCTCACCAAGAATTAATAGCGAGGAGGAATTGCAAGAAAACCCTTGCTCACCTAGCGCTTCCAGCACGAAGGAACTGCAAGAGAAACCTCGCTCACATCGAACTGGCACAGACGGGTAATTAGCGTATTGTGAAATAGTTGTTGTTGCTGTGTTTCCCTGATATCAGTCGTCATGTTGAATTGGTTTTGCCTTGGTAATTTGTGGTACTGTCTGGTAATATAGATCAGTGCTATATTACCTGACAGTTATTTTATATTATTTATTAGATGAAAGAAAAACAGGGATAGAATTATTTATAAGAGTAATTGCTACTGTCAATGTTTCTCCCCCGAGGTATGTTGGACTTGGAATACGGGGCGGGGATTATTTTTGTCCGGAGATATCTTGCTTGAATGAACGGAGACCGGATCAATGAAGCTCATCATTGCAAAACAAATAAAAAATGCAGAAAAAGAAGAATCAGGTACAAAAGAAAAATTGGCTTCTTACACGGCTTAAAGTTGGCTTAACCCAAATTACAATAACAAGTTTGGTTATGGCCTATGTTAATGTTTGATAATGTCACTTTAGAGAGAAATTTACACGATCTTGTCCACAAACAAGGATAAATACAAATATAGATTTAACTGAAGATCCAAAATAGTCAAAATAGTCAGGTCACTTGTTCTATCTAGGCTGGAATATTGCTGCACACTAACAGCACCTTTCAAGGCAGGTGAAATTGCTGACCTAGAAAATGTACAGAGAACCTTCACGGCGCGCATAACAGAGATAAAACACCTCAATTACTGGGAGCGCTTGAGGTTCCTAAACCTGTATTCCCTGGAATGCAGGCGGGAGAGATACATGATTATATACACCTGGAAAATCCTAGAGGGACTAGTACCGAACTTGCACACGAAAATCACTCACTACGAAAGCAAAAGACTTGGCAGACGATGCAACATCCCCCCAATGAAAAGCAGGGGTGTCACTAGCACGTTAAGAGACCATACAATAAGTGTCAGGGGCCCGAGACTGTTCAACTGCCTCCCAGCATGCATAAGGGGGATTACCAACAGTCTTCAAGCTGGCACTGGACAAGCACCTAAAGTCGGTTCCTGACCAGCCGGGCTGTGGCTCGTACGTTGGATTGCGTGCAGTCAGCAGTAACAGCCTGGTTGATCAGGCTCTGATCCACCAGGAGGCCTGGTCACAGACCGGGCCGCGGGGGCGTTGACCCCCGGAACTCTCTCCAGGTAAACTCCAGGTTATTATTATAATCAAAGAAAACCCTAAACCGACAAGGGTCATACAGTATACGGAGAATGAAGATGAGGATGATGATAGTCGTAATGATAGTTTTGACGAAAACCTGATATATTACCGACATTTTTTTTTTATATTTCTCAGGCCAAACGTCGAGTTTGGGTTTTGTTTAGTGGGTCTAGGTTTGAGAAGGACTTGCCCAGTATGAACCAGTAGGCCTGTTCCTCCTTATGTTTTTATCCAAGGTGTCCTGTTATTTCTGCAGGTCACGTGCAGCACTGGACCGCCTACGTGCATACCGGTCCAAGGAACGCAGACGCCTAGCTATGGAGCTGGATGAGCTGTGTTCACAAGCGAACACTGCCCATGCAGGACTCAGACTGTATCTGTTGATCACTACACCTAAGGCACCAGTACTCACCCCTCCAGCAACCGTAGTCATCCCGCTACTAACAAACAGAACTGATTGGCTACTCGCTCGCTGGTAGTGACCTGTGTTCCTCAATCTGCTCTACTATATGTGTTACATTATCTTACGGAAGGTAGTATTGCTGACTTTTATCACTATATAGTGTTTTAGGTCGCTGCTACAGCAAGATTACAGAGTATGTAGATAAATACATATGCACAGTTCAAGCCATTTCTTGAGAAAGATGCTTCGCTACAAGTGGCGAAACGTTTCCTCAATAAATGTCTTGAACTGTTCATATGTATTTTTATCTACATACTCTCGGTATCACCATAAAGTAATAACTACTTCCGCTCCATCATGGCACCGTGAGTGACACTCCCACTCCATGGCACCATGAGTGACACTCCCACTTCATGGCACCATGAGTGACACTCCTACTCTATGGCACCATGAGTGACACTCCCACTCCATGGCACCATGAGTGACACTTCCACTCCACGGCACCATGAGTTACACTTCCACTCACCACAAGTGACACTCCCACTCCATGTGATAAATGGGTTAGAAAATCGACAAGTTGAAGAATGAGACACGCAACATTTGGGAATCTTTATTGAGGAAACGTTCTGCCCCCAGCGCCTTCATCAGTCCAGTGCAAAGAAGAATGGTGGAAAAAGAGGAGGAGTTTGAGGCAGTCAGTCTCTCAGCTTCGAATCGATGTGCCCAGCCCATCAATCTTGAAGAAAGTACAGCATATACTCGTGCGGATCTTGACGTTACATAGTGCATCAGTCAAAATGTTGCCGAAGGTGTCACAACACTTTTTTTTAAACTTTTTACTAGTTGTTAAATAAAGGTTTATAAATGGCAATGTAACCTCGGATAACTTGAAATAAAAAATAGATTTTAGGCCTATAGAAAACAGTAAATAATTAACTGTTAAAGCTGCAAATTAAACTGAAGCAGGAAGAGGGATAGTTTGCAATATGAACCCATAGTATCAATGTGCTCGTCGAAAGCGAATTTTGACTGGCTGCCCCAACACTGCAAACTACCTGCCTGCTTGTTATATTGTAAGCGCTGCGAGTGTTAAGCCAGCAGAAGTCACCAGATCCAACGATCTGCAGGACCAAGTCGTTCTCTCCGTGTTACGTACCATGTTTTTAATAAAGTATGCCTGCCTTGGTGAGCCGGGACATGCATCTCCTTACTCTGTGCAACTCCATTCTCCTTCTTCTTGTTGATTCGCCGGTATTCTCCCGGCCCGGGCCTTTTCCAAGTGGTGGCCTGGCCTTGGTTCCCTGTCTAGGGAGTGTTTGAGACCTGTCTCCCATGGGAGGAGGTACAAGTACCTCCTCATCTTTGGGACCAACTGTCCCCAGGCCTAGCCACATTCCCCGCCCTCACGGGGCTCGTAGGGAGAAGCTAGGCCTCTCTGGTCTGCCATTCCCGCCACCAAGGGCGCTAATGGCAATGGCAGTCTTGTGAGCTGCAAGCTCGGGCTCAGGCACCTAACCTACCCTAGAAGGGCTGGGCATGGTGTCGATTGCAATTTTTTTTAAGGTTTATTTAAAGGAATATAATTTTTTTAAAGAACTTTTTATAATTTTTTTTTTAAATTTTTTCTTGAGATTTTTTAAAAGATGTTTTCTAATGATGTTTTTCAAGAATTTTTCATAGTTATTAGTTATTCTTTATAATTTTTGGTTACTTTTTCATAATTTTAGTTATTTTTCATATTTAGTTATTTTTCACAATATTTAGTTATTTTTCATCATTTTTAGTTATTTTTCAAAATTTTTGGTTATTTTTCAAAATTTTGGTAATTTTTCATTATTTTTAGTTATTTTTCATAATTTTTTGTTATATTTCATAAATTTTGGTTAGCTTTCATAATTTTTGTTTTTGCTTAATATTATTTTAATATTTTTCATAATTTGTTTTTCATATTTTTTGTTATTTTTCATAATTTTAAGTTATTTTTTATAATTTATGGATATTTTTCAATTTTTTTAGTAATGTTTCAAAATTTTTGGTTATTTTTCATATTTTTTTTAAATTTCTAGTTATTTTTCATGCTTTTTAAGATTTTTTCATAATTTAGGTTATTTTTCATAATTGTGTTTTTTTCGTATTTTTAATTATTTTTCATAATTTATCTGTTTTTCATAATCGTTTTTTTTTTCATAATTTTTAGTCATTTTTTATATTTTTCACATATTCACAATTTTTATTTATTTTTTGTAATTTTTGGTAATGAAAAATTATGAAACTAAAAACTCTGAAAAATAACTAAAAATTTTTAAAAACATCCAAAAATTATGAAAATGTAACTAAAAACTCTGAAAAATATTAAAAAAAATATGAAAAATAACCCAAAATTATGAAATACAACTAAAATTGATGGAAAAAATCAAAATAATGAAAAAACTAAAAATAAAAAATAACTAAAAATTAAAAATAACTAAAAATAATGTAAAATAATGAAAAATAATGATAAACTAAAAATAGATAAAAAATAATTAAAAGTAATAAAATATAAGTAAAAAATAACTAAATATAAAAATAAAAATACTAAAAATAATGAAAATTAACTAAAAATAAAAATAAAAAATAATAAAAAATAACTAAATTAATGGAAAATATCTAACAGATTACTAAAAATAATGAAAAATAACTAAAAATAACTAAAATAACTAAAAATAATGAAAAATAACTAAAATAACTAAAAATAATGAAAAATAACTAAAAATAACTAAAATAACTAAACATAACTAAAAAACTAAAAATAACAAAAAGTAACTATAAAATAAGTACCAAACAACTAAAAATAGTAAATGACAATAGCTAAAAATAATAAAAACAAATAAAAATAATGAAAAAGACTAACAAATCTAATCGTAACCTAAACCTAAAATAACTTAATCTACCTTAACCCAAACTAACCTAACTTAAACTAGACAAACTTAGTCTCACCTAAACTAACCTCGCCTAAGCTAACCTCACCTAAACTAATCTAACCTAACCTAATCAAACCTAACGTATCCTAACCTAACCAAACCTAAACTAACCAAACCTAAACTAACCCAAAGTAACCTAGACAAACCTAACCTAACCTAATCTCACCTAAACTAACTTAACCTTACCTAACCCAACCTAATTTTAATGTCCAGTGTAATGAGGAGCCCATCACTTCAGTTTCCTCAGTAAAATATATGGGAATCCCCTTTGACTCATGCATGTCAGGAGAATTGATAGGGAACAGTGTAACAGTAAAGGAAGCAAATGCCAGACTGAAGTTCCTCTACAGACAAGCACAGTGTCTACCTACTGAGGCTCGCATGACTCTGTACAATGTCGTATGGACTACGCTTGTTCTTCATGGTACTCTGCCTTGACAAAAAAAAAAAAAACTGAAAGATAGACTGCAAATCATCCAGAACAAAATGGTAAGATTCTCCCGGACCTGGGGCCAAGAAAGCATTTGGCCCGGA